TGATTAGCTTTGAAAGAAATGCTACAGACATAGTTAATTTCTGTATGCAATATGACAGGAAAAACCTGGAAACGAGAAACTTGGCAAAAAAAAAAAAAAGAGAGGCTAGAAAGGTTTAAAGTATGGAAAGTATAATGGATATATACATATATATATATAATAACACAAAGACATGACATGAAAAAAGATCAGCAAAAAAGCGTAAAGTAGAAAGAACTAAAAACATGGAAAATTATTATAAACAAGTAATGAGTATTAAGAAAGATTAGGCGTAAAAATAACAAATAAAAACTTACAACAAATATGGAAAAGAAAAAGATGTTTCACAGTCAGAACCAATGAAGAGTCGAAGATCACTGATTCCAAGATTCAGGTTTATTCCAAAAAGATAAACTGTATTTGGGGTAGCCATCCATTAGGTTTTCTCATTTCTCTATCAGCTTTAGTTTTGAAACCTCTTTCGAGACCTATGAAAATCACATCATTAACAGAATGACCGAATTAGTTGAAGTGGTGGGGAAGATTTTTTTGGTGTTAAAAGAAGATATGCGGTTATTGTAACCTTTTGTATTTGTCCTAAATTCTGGTAATTTACACTGTATGAGATAAATAGTGTTGCATGTCGGTAGTTTTTGTGAACTTGCAGGTGAGACCACGAACTTTATTACAGAGATGACACCCATTCTGTGGTAGGTTGTAATCCATTTTTGCATAAACAAGAATATCTTTAAAAATTCTACTTTTCTGAAAGGAAACAACAGGAACTTCAGGAAAATTTTTTGATCATTCAGTTGCAGTATGGTCTCCTTACTTTTACATAGCAAAATTTCAAAAGAATCGCTTTAACACGTATCGTTTTACAGCAAGTCAAAGAGGTGGTGGTAAAAAAGTTAAAATTTGTTGTCAAAAACTCGCAGAGACTGAGTTTCTGAGAGAAAATATATAGGTCAGAAAGAAGTTCAGGTTCATTAACAAAGTTATTGGTTGGACAGAAGCTGAGACCTCTACAAAGGAGACTGCATCTTAAAGATCTGTGTTTGAAAGATTAATTATGTTGAAAACATTAGGAGTGAGTTGATTATTACTTGTAGGAATTATGAGGTCCTTATTATTATTTTCATGTTTTTTGTTGTTGTTTTTCACTTTGAGAGAGCTCACGTCTAGTTAAAGATGAAGTGTTTGTTTCGGATGTTCATTATTAGAAAATGAGAAATTGTTACCTTCAGATAGGATGCTTGCTATCGAGACACACAGCAGTGTGTCGTGCGGGCAAAAAAAAAAACCGCATGAAACCCAGTGTGTTATTAGCAGGAATGAAAACTTTCGGTTTTTCGACCATACGTATAATCGCCCCCATTAAACTGACCCTCCCATTTTTTTGTATGATAGATCTCACAGGTTATTTACCTTACATACCAAATTTCAAAAAACTTGCTTTAACATTTATCGTTTTAAAGCAGACCAAACTTTGCCTGAAATTCTTCTTTTTCTTCTTCTTCGCACCAGTGTGCCCCCTGTGGCACAGCAGTATGTCTTCGGACTTACAACGCTAGAAACCGGGTTTTAATATCCGTGGTGGGTAGAACACAGATAGCCCGTTGTGTAGCTTTGTGCTTAATTACAAAAAAATCGCACCAGTGATAAAAAACAACTCAAACTTTCCCTTAATTTATATCTTTAAATTTTGATACCTAGCTTCACCAAGCTTGACAGCAAATTTGGTTCTAGTAGCTCAAGTATTCTCGGAGGTATGGGCAAAAATTACGCTAACATCTCTAAAATGTTTGCGCTCACCTGGAGACAAAGTGGCTAACTCGATCGCACTGATATTTCGTCCACACATTAAGGTATTCTCAACAGTGGAATATTTTTTTTTTAATATAAAAATTGGACGCGAAATACGGAAGTTATGAGCCCAAAATCACCATCGTGTAAAATGTTCACACAATTTTTGCGTACTACTTTGCATCAGACTACAAACTCAAAAAAACGTGATTGCCTCGTTTCTGGCAAATTTTATAATATCACTATATAAAACTATACAACGAACATAATATCTATTGAAATACAACTTGTCTGAAAAAGGTGTGGACAAAAATAAACCATATATGAGGGAAGTAAGGGTGATAATATACAACTTAGTTTTTTATTTCATAAAGATGAACGGCATTTAAAGTAGCAATCCAATATGTTTCAAAACAAGCCAATTTTGCTTCTGACAACATTCCAGTACATTTATTCAATAATTTTATGAATGATAACTAATTATTTCTAACGATCATAATTAAATTATTTTTCCTTAGATTTTTTTATTGCTGATTTTCAATAGGAATTGAATTTTACAAACATAGAAAAAAAAATCTCGCGCTCTCATTAGACTACTCTGTTAATGTGTGAAATAGTAGTAGTATCTCCTGAAAATAAAACTTTTAAAAATGTTAAACTCAAATACTTTAACTGTTTCTCTACAATCCCTCTATTCGTCTGGTTACTTCCTCCTGTTGCACAATTCAAAATTAGAGACGTCTATGCCTGAATAACATAGGAGACTTTTGGCTGCCCATTTATCGCAATGTTCCAAACATTTGGCGCTCTTGTTTCGATGACATATTCAGCATTAACAGTTGTAGTGAAGTAACTGCTTTAATAACTTCTTTAAATTCATAAAATGAAGATATATAATTCATCACACAATTATATTTTGATGTTCTTATTATACATTCCCAATATTAAACAAATCACCCAAATATTCATGTGTTAAATTCTATGTTAACAGGTTAAATGCTTTAATGTTCTAATAAAGAATAACAAAAATGAAACAACTGAATGTGTAAAACGAGTATTTTGAAAATCTCATTTAGACTTTGTGAAAAGTTATCAATAATTATTTGTTTCTACTGGTGTAAAAGTTTCATAAATCGTCAAATATTATATATCTTAAAGGAAATATACTTTCACTCCGAAATTAAACTAGTACTAAGTGGATAAGACCAACAGTCAGTGGAAAGTTAGTGTTGACGGACAACATATATGTGTCAATAACGAGAAAACTCTAAAACATTGATATTTATAAATTGTTACAACTATAAACATTTATAATGATTAAATTGTTGAAGAGGTAGTTTTTAGTAAAGTTGGCATATTGCCAAACGGAAAGATATTGACCAGTATTATATAACAATAATTAATAACCTCTTCTACATTTATAAACCATTACTTTCATGTTCGTTTGAAGAACTGCACAAAAATGATGATTCTGGTGATTATTATTAATGTGAAAAGAAAAGTTTAAAATATTATAATATTTGTTCTTATTTCATTGCTCAAACATAATTTAATAACAATATTTAAGATAATACACAATAAAGTACGCCAGGAACGAAAATCATCCATTTTATATAAAATTCTATAATGTTTTCTTAGCGAGTCATTCTTGTCATAATATTATTGATTATTTTTTTCTAACATAAAAGCTAAATATAAAATACAATATTCTGATATTACTCTAACAGTTAGTTCATATTTTCAGAAACATGAAGACTGATGAAAATTATATGAGACAAGAAGATACTAAGGAATTATTCGATGTAATAGGATATTTTGGGTCATGGCAGAGGAGGATTTTCTTTATTGCTTTCATCTCCCTTATGGCACATTGTTGGCACGTGTTGGCAATGTTGTTTTTAGCACCAAACATTGACCACTGGTGCCAGCGTCCTACAACGTATTCCAATATATCTACTGACCAATGGAAAGACTTGGCAATACCTCGTGTGCAATCAAAGAATGACAGTGGCATCTATAGTTCCTGCCTTGTGTATAAAAACTTTACTTCACACATGAAGGAAGAAAATTCAACGACCGCTTGTGCTTCGTGGGAATATGATAACTCTTTCTATACTTCCACAATCATTGATGAGGTATGCATATAGTTTTCTAAAAAATTCTAATTATATATTATTGATATCAAGTGAATCTCCACAACTTGTTTTTATATGTCATGTGTATATTTAAGTAAATCAAAACACACGGTAGAGCGTCGTGCGGCCAAAAATAAAAAAAATAAAATAAACCGCATGACACCCAGTGTGTTATTAACAAGAATGAAATCTTTGGGGTTTTCAACCATATGTATTATCACCCCTGTTAATCAATACTCTCTCATTTTTTGTGTAGTAGTTCTGTCTCCCAGATCTCCTTACTTTACAGACCTAATTTCAAAGAAATTGCTTTAAACCTTATCGTTTCACTGAAATTAGCCTGAAATTACTAATATTCTTCTCTTCGCACCAGTGATAAAAAAAAACTTTCCTTTAATTGATTTCTGTCACATTTGGTACATGGCTGGCATATATGTTTCCCTAGCGTGATAGCAAATTTGGAAGTAGTAACTCTAATATTCTTGGAGATATATGAGCAAAAATCAAAATTAAGCAAAAATTATACTAAAATCGTGTACATTTTTGCGCTCGCGTGGAAAAAAATTGCTAAGACGATCGCGCTCAAATTTCTACCACACATTAGGGTGTTCTCGGCAGTGGGCCGTTTTCAATTTTATAAAGATCGGACGCGAAATACGGAGGTTATGAGCCCAAAACCACCATCTTGTAAAAATGTTCACACGATTTTTGCGTACTACTTTGCATCAGACTTCAAACTAATAAAAACGTTTCCCGGTTCGTGATTGCCTTCATTTTTGGCACATAACTAGCATATTTTACAATATCACTTTATCTACTATATAAAACTATACAAGGAACATGATATCTATTAAAAAATAATTTGGCTGAAAAAGGTGAGGACAAAAATAAAGCAACTGAAAGATATGAACTTAAAATTATTGAAGTTTGAAGAAACCCACATGCAATAAAATGTCTCTAGATTTAATAGGTGCCTGATGTTAATTACTCCAAACCATATCTGAGTATTTAATTTATGTCCTTTGTGGTTATTTTTACCTAATGTACAACAAAAAAGGGTCATATCCAATGAAAACCAGTACAGCAAAAAAAAAAACAATACTTGACCGAAAAATATGAGATCAAAGTTTGCAGCCAAAATCGGAAAATATTGAAGATTAAAATTTTATGCAAGCTATTGTGACTAAGCATTCAAAATTTTAGAAAATTTGCATAGTACGCATATCTGCTACAAGAAATCACATGGGCTGCTGTTTTTTTGTCTGTTTTAATAAGGTATTTTATTACAATTAAGAAATGGCAAAGTTTTCACGGTTCTTAGACATTAAATTTTAGTATCAAACTTTACAACCATTTGTTGAGCAAACTATTCTAAAAGAAATTAAGTCATCCTTCATTTATTAGAGAAAGTTCTAGGTGAGTTGTCATTATTAAATGACTTAACCAACGGGATTTCGCCTAATTTTGAATTGCCACCAATGATAAAACTGATATTTTGAGCTAAATTTGTTTATTTCTATGAGGAAAAATTCGCATTAGACAACGTGTATGTTCTGTCAACCAACAAAACCTTTAAACGATTTATCAAGGTGAACTGACAAGGGTTGGTTTAATTTATGCTTTACTTAAGAGGATTTACCTTGAGTTCAGTAAAATATTTGCTTTTACCTTTTTTGTAAAAAAAAAATATATATATATATATATGTAACCGTATAAAGTAATTCTCACACAGACTGTGGTAGCTACAGTGTAAAGTATTTCTTGCACAGGCTATGTGAGCATACCGTGAAAGGTAACTCTTGGTAAAACTGTGTGAGCCTTCCGTGTAAAATAATTCTTACCTAGACTAGGTGATAATACTATACAAAGTCATTCTTAAACAGACCAGAAAGCATATCCTGTAAAGTGATACTTGTAAAAGCTACGTGAGCATACTGTGTAAAGTAATTCTTATACTTACTATATGAGCAAAGAGTGAAAATTAATTCGTACACAGACTGTTTGAACATATCGTGCAAAACAATTTGTACCCAGATTATGTAAGCATACTGTGTAAGGAAATTCTCACACAGATTACAAGATCATACCATTTAAAATTATTCTTACTAAGATTATGTGAGAATACCACTAAAGTAATTGTTTAACATACTATGTTAAGTACCGTGTAAATAATTCTTATACAGATTAAGTGAGTTGCAGTGTTAAGAAATGCTTACAGAGACTGTGTTAGCTACCTTGTAAAATAATTCTTACACAGTCCGTGTGAGCATACTATGTAAAGTAATTCTTAAACATACTTTGTGAGAAGACACTGAAAACTAATTTTTACACAGATCATATGAGCTTACAGTGCTATATATTTCTTGCATAGACTACGTAAACATATCGTGTAAAGTAATTCTTACACAGACCATATAAGCAAACTGTGTAAAGTAATTCAGCAACGTAAGGTACCATGTGAAGTAATTCTTATACAGTATCTAAAGTGAGTTTCACTGTGGTATTGTAACAACAGAAATAAAGAAGAACAATTTGTCTTGTCAAGAGTGTTCTAAAGTAATTGAACCTGCCTGTGTGGACTTTGGTGAAAATAAGACAATTATTTAAAGCTCTGGATACAACTGCGATAACCAATAGTGTAACGATTTTTTGTACATTCGTTTGATTTATTTTGAATACATTATTTAAAAACAAGTGGATTGTGTGCTGTTCGTTTATTGTTGACATGTATCGTCAACAAGTCACAGACACCTACTGCAAATAATCCAGTAAATAACCTACTGTGTTAGCTGCAGTATAACGTATTTCTTTCACAGACTATGTCAGCGTACAATGCAAGGTGTTTCTTGATAAGACTGTGTAAGCCTTTCGTGCAAAGTAATTCTAATCCATACTAGGTAAGAAAATTGCGTAAGTTAATTTTTAAACAGACTAACTGAGCCTACCTTGTAAAGTAATTGCTATACAGACTATGAGAGAATACTGTATAAAGTAACACTTACACGAAGTGAGCGTATCATGTAAACTGATTTTTGCAAAAACTATTTGAGCATATTGTGTAAAGTAATCCTTACACTTACTATGTGAGCAAACAGTAGAAGATAATTCTTACACAGAATATGTGAGCTTATCGTGTTATTTAAGTTTTGCATGGATTATTTGAACATATCGTATAAAGTAGTCCTTGCACAGTCTCTATGAGCATGCCATGTAAAGTAATTATTGCACAGAATATATGAAATAATCTTGTAAAGTAGTTCTCACACAGACTATGTGAACATACAATGTTCACATTTCTTATACTGACTATATGAGCACAAGGTATAGAGAAATTGTTACACAGCACGCCATGTAAAGTAATTCTCACACAGATTAAGTGACCTACCTTCTAAAGTAACTTGTACGCAGACTATATGAGCATACAGCCTAAACTAATACTTACATAGACAATATAAGCATAATTTGTAAATTCCTTTTATGCCGATTATGCTCATTATGAGCAACTGTGCAAAATAATAATTACACAGGCAATATATAGTGTAATGATATTCTTACACATACTATATGATCATACCGTGTATATAAAGTCTTGCACAGACTATGTGATACTTCTTAGTAAAGTAATTTCTACAGCGTCTATGTGAACATAATGAGTAAAATAATTATTAAACTTGCCATGTGAGCAAACAGTAATATTGGAGTTTATCCTGTTATGTAATGCAGTGTACAATAATTCTTGCACAGGCTATGTCATTATACCGTATTAAGTAATTCTCCCACATGAGCTACCTTGTAAAGTGATCCTTATATAGATTCTATGAGCATACTGTATAAAGTAATTCTTGCACAGACTGTGTGGCTTCCCAGTAAAGTAATTCTTACCTTTATTATGTGTACAAACAGTAAAATGTAATTCTTATGCATAATATGTGAGCTTACCGTGTTATGTAATTCTTGCACAGGTTAGCTGAGCATTCCGTGTAAAGTAATTCATACACAGAATATGTGAGTATGTCGTGTAAAGTAATTCATACACAGAATATGTGAGTATACCGTGTAAAGTAATTCTTACATAGATTATGTGAGGTACCGTGTAAAGAAATTCTCACACGTACTATGTGACAATACAAATTAATTCTTATACAGATTAAGGAAGCTACCGTGTAAAGTAATTGTCACACAAACTATACAAGCATACCGTATAATGTATTTGTTATTCATACACAGACTATGTGAGTATCCTGTGTGAACTAATTCTTGTTTTTGTCGGAAAACATGCACTAAAATTTACATTACTGAGTCGAACTTGTTTTTAAAACTATTTTAAGCTAGAAATAGTATCACACAAATGTTTATTTTATGCTTAGTTTGAGGTGAGCTGGAGTGAGGTTAAGAGACGCCTCATTCCCATCTCAACTAAGCTGCTTCGGATGGTTCTTCCGTATATCTCTGCCCGTGAGAAATGACATTAAGACTTGTAAGGGAAGTAACAACAAAATGTATACATTTTGTATGGCTCTCTTTCACCTACGAAAGTGAGTCACACCCAATACATAAGCAGGTATAATATATATCTACTTTAAAAAGAAGGACCCCGTGAGTTTCGCTTCTCGGAGTGAAAAGCTGGGGTAGCAACCTCAGACTTTTAGCCTCGTGAGCCTCTAAGCTTGCTGAACCTCACGAGGACAACTTGCTGGGACGCACCACTTGACTTTTTAAAACTAAGGATCTTAAGATAAACAAAACTGATTATTTATAACAGAAGGAGACACAGATAAACGTTTCGGAATTCTACAGCTTACATCATTAATATCTGAAATATAATAAAAGAATTACATCATTCCTAAGTATATAATTAAAATTCATTGCTGCAAAAACGATAATTTAATGAAAACTAAAACATATAGAAAGTGAAGGAGTAACAAACAAAAATTATGTACATATTAAAAAATGTGCAATATAAACGAAGTGTGCAAGTTATTAACAAAAATGACAACTTGGGTAAAATGCGAGTTATTCTTGACGACTCTACCAAATTTAAAATCCTTAACAACGACCGTTTATCGCTTACTATCCAACGTGAAGAAAAGATCCAAAGATACCTGAGAGAATTTAAAAACAAAAATATCATATCCGAAAATGTTGGTGCTTCATTGTATTCGACAGGCTTCCGCCCTGGTATTTTATATAGTCTTCCTAAAATTGACAAAACAGGCACCCCCATCCGACCAATTCGTTCAGCCTTAGGCACGCATACTTACAAATTTGTGAAATTCCTGGTACCTATACGACAGCTACTCACTACCAGAGAATTCACTATCCTCCATTATTTCCAGTTTGCACGTGAATTAAATCAACTACCTCACTCCAAAAACCACTTTTTTGGCTGATATTACCTCCCACTTTACAAAAACACTTCTAAATGAAACCATTGATATTTGTATATGTGAAATTTTACGCAATAATATTTCGCTGAATGGGTTTACTGAACCTCAAATTAAGACAATTTTGGCTCTTACAACCAACAATTCACGTATCCTATTCAACAACACCTTCTTTGAACAAATAGATGGGGTAGCGATGGACATAGGATTTTTAGATCCCCAAGCCCTGAAGGAACTTAAGTCCTTAATCGTCCATTTATTTTATATTATTGAATTGATCAGTGTCTCAGACCCATTTTTATTATTCACTTAATCCCTTTCTACTTCCTCATACCAAGTTCATAACGCTTCATAATCCACGAGCTCGGCGAAGGAGGATTGATTAATCTTTGAACACCCAGATGATTAATTAATTATTTTAATAATTAACTTGATCGAAATACCTGCCAGTTAGTTTAGTTTAGTTTAACAAAAATGACTCGACACCTGCCCCGCTGACTTCAAACCTATCCTTTACAGAAGATATGTAGACGACACTTTCATTATTTTTCACAAGAAGGATCACTGCTCAAAATTTTAGAATACCTGAACTCACAACATCCTGCCAAAAATGTGAGGTTGAAAAATAATAATAATTTACCTTTCTTTAGACATCCTCATTAACCGTAACACTATTGGATTTGGTACATCAACATACAGAAAAAAGACGTTTACTGGACTCCTAACACAATTTGACAGCTTTATCCCTTTCTAGCTAAGAAACACAAATCCACCCAGACTACCAACAGTATTTTGGTTTGTTACTCCTTCACTTTCTATATTTTTTAGTTTTGATTAAATTATCATTATTGCAGCAATGTTTTTTAGTTATTTACTTGGGAATGATCCAATTCTTTTATTTTACTTTAGATACTGAAGATGGAATTTGTTATCAATAAACAATGTTGTTATCTTAAGTATCGTTTTCCTTTTAATTGTAAAGATCTTAAGCTATGGGCCTCGCGACTCTCACTGCTCGTTACACCTCGTGAGCTGAACTTGCAGAGACGCACCACTTGGCCATTATTGTCAAAATAAGAGGACTTACCCGGTTTGATGAGGCTGGTGTTGTTTAAATGCTCGTTCTCCCTGGCTAACAAGAGGAACTGGAATAAACTGAAAAGAGGAAAACACTTAACACAAACACGTAGATTGAATGCATGATTGTTAGCGCTGGATAAAGCCACCGTGTTACTTTCGGTCCATATGCAAAGAAAGGCACAGAACCCGAGTTCGTAATCACGCACAACACTAAAAGAACATTGCATCACACTATTAGTCTCCAGAAGTGGAGTTGGCCCGCCGCAGTCCTTCTCTCCCGTCCGAACTTCCAAGATGACATGGATTTGTAGCTAGAGCGGCCACTGGTGTTAAAAGTTGAGGTCGAGGTCATCGCCAAGATTTTGAAAGATAGAGGAGTTTTCCATGTTCCATTTTTTGAGAAATCCTCTTTGTTAAGGCATAAACATCAGCTCTCAGATGTAGGCGGACGGCTTTCCTAACCCTTTTCAAGATTTCGCTAGAGTCTTCTCACGTACGCTGGAATACTCTCCTGCACCTGGAGGCCCAGATCTGTGCTTTAAATTCCCCTAATAAGTACAAAAAGCAAAAACAGACGGTTTAGTGACAGGAACAGGGCGATAGGACAGTACTGTACTAAAAACAATGTACTTGATATAGAATATGAAGGCAAATCTTACCTAGACTATGTGAAAATAAAATGTAAATTATTCTAATACAAACTATGTGAGCATACTGTGTAAAGTAATTTTTGTACAGAATACATAATCACATTGTGTAAAGTAATTCTTGTAGAGAGTATATAATCACATCGTGTAAAGTAATTCTTACAAATACCATGTAGGGATACCGTAAAAATAATACTTACACAAACTATCTCAGCTACAGTTTAAAGTAATTTTTACACAAACTATATGGGTAACCGTGTAAATTAATTCTCACAGTAGGTGAGTATACCAGGTAAAGTAATTCCTTCACAGACTATGTAAGCAAATTATTCTTACATAAACTATGTCAGCGTACTATTCAAAGTAATTTTTGCACAGACTATGTGAGCATACGGTGAAAGTAATTAGTTTTAAACAAACTATTTTGCAGACCGTGTAAAGCAATTCTTACACTGTTTAAAATGATTGTGACACAGACTAAGTGAGCTGCTGCGTAAAGTAATTCTTTAAAATACAATATGAGCACACCATGCAAATTATTCTAACACAGACAATGTAAGCATACCGTATAAAGAATTTCTTACACAAACTATGTGTTATACTGTGTAAAGGAATACTTGCTCAGACTACATGAGCATACTGTATGAATCATTTCTTACAAAGACTATGTTATGTACAGCGTAAGTAATTCTCACACAGACTATGTGATAATACTGTATAAAGTAATTCTTATGTAGAATATGAGAGCTTGCAGTATAAATTAACTGTTACAAAGACTGTGTGAACTACATTCTTAAATATTTCTTAAATTAATTGAGCTACTGTGTAAATAAATTATCACACTTACTATGTCAGCATATAGTGCAAGTTTCTTCTTACACAGATTAACAGAGCTACCATGTAAAGTAATTCTTAAGCAGTATGAGCACACACAATGTAAGCTACCGTGTAAAGTAATTCTTAAGCAGTATGAGCACACACAATGTAAGCTACCGTGTAAAGTAATTCTTAGTCAATACTTAACCAATACTAAAGACCTCTTAGAAAAGATACACTCTTCTACACAAAAAATATGCACTGACTCCATTTTATTTTCCTTGGAAGTAATCGCCTTGTACCCATCCATACCTATAGATCTTCAATGCTCAGTTTTGTCCTATACAACAATTATTTTAAATTTGGTGACACCTTGTACAAACAAAAGAAAGGAGTAGCAATGGGCAACAGAGCAGCAGTCACATTTGAAATAATATTCGTGCATACGCTAGAAACCAAAGCCCTTGACATATATAGAAAAAAATATATACAGGTTTAGTACCAGAAGCGTGGTACAGATACATCGATGACATATTTGGTATATGGAATCATGGAAAAGAAAGACTACAGCAGCTCTACTATTTCCTAAACAACTTCCACCCATCAGTCAAGTTCACACTAACACTATCTAACGCAGAACGATACTTAACATTCTTAGACGTAACCCTAAAAATCCCAAACAGATAAATACGGAGCTCCATACATAACAAAGAATGCAAGAAGCCAATATTTCTCCATTACAAATCACACCACCCAGAACGAGTCAAAAGGGGAACAATAACAGGAGAATTAAAGAGAATGAATCGAAACTGCTCCACGACGAATGCCATTCAAACAGCACAAAATGGTTTTAAAACACTACTATTACGAAACGGATACCCCGAATATAACATCGAAAATATTTTCAAATCACAAAAAAAACATTACAGCAGCAACAACCCCCCCCCCCCAAAAAATGCACAAAAATGTCCACAATGAACATTCCTTTCATAAACAACATAATCACAACCAAGATTCGTAAAGCCGTTAAACAATCCAAATTATTATGCAAAATATGTGAGCATACCGTGTAAAAGTAGTTCTTTTTTTCAGACCATGTAAGCACACTGTGAAAGTAATTTTTACACAGGCTATGTGAGTATAGCATGTAAAATTATTCTTACACGGACTCTGTGAGCTTACAGTGTAAATTAATTCTTACATATATTATGGAAGCATACCGTATATAGTAATTCTTACTCAGACTATCTGAG